TCTGATTAGCTGATGGGTATGGCTGGTGGGTATAGCGGAGTGATGGTTAATTTGCATATAACTCTGTATTAGGTAGGATACTTCCCACTCCACAGCTAAAACTTGTACTTGCTTACTGTGCCTTTTGCTGCAAATTTATTTTTAATTTCACTATGGTCAAATTTAACCACCTCTTTAATTTTGTGTTCTTTTTGCTATACAAATGGTCATATATATTCTTCTCTATTTTCTTCTAAAAACTTTGTTATGTTATGATGTGTTTGCCTATCACATCTAATAAAACTACTTGAAATTTATGTTTTGCTCTGTGTGAATTGGGTTATAATTTATTATCCAAATTGACTCAACAAAATTTATTGAAATTATCTCAACTTTGCTCACTGATCTACAATGATAGAATTGTCATAAAATAAGTACACATGGATGCTTGGCTCTGTTTCTAGATGTCAATGTATTTTATTTAACTCTCTGTCTATATCACACTATCTTACATTAAGTAACTTCATAAAATACCTTGGTACATGATAGAGCAGGTCCTTCTATCTTACCTTTTCCTTCATAAAGAATTTGACCTTTTTTAAAAATATATATTTTCATATAAAATAAATATCACTGTTTTAAATTATAAAATTTAGTGCTTTATAGTATGTTCACAATTTTGTATAAATATTACCACTAATTCTAGAACATTACTAATATTACAAGTTATTGTTAGCAATACATCCTATTCTCTTTGATCAACTCTTCCCCTGGTTATGGATATATCATTTGGGACATTTCATTAAAATGAAATCACACAGTTTATGGAGTTTGTGTCTAGCTTGTTTAACTTAGCATGTTCGAAGGTCAATCTATGTTGTAGAAGGTAACAGTATTTCCCTTTTTATAGCTGAATAAAGCATATTTTATTGATCTAATTATTATTATCATAGGGCTTTTTATTGTTTAAAATTTTTAACTATTATAAACAATGATGCTGAAAATTCGTATAATTTTTTGTGGAAAAATATGTTTTCAGTCCTTTGGGGTGTATATTTAAGAGTAGAATTTCTAGGTGATATGATAATTCCATATTGAATTGTTTGACTGAACACCATAGTGAGTACACCATTTTACATTCCTACCAGCAATACATGAGAGTTATAATTTCTTCACATCCTCATCAGCACTTACTTGCCATTTAAAAAAAAAAAAAAAAAAAAAGCTATGATGGTTACAGCCAGTGAGTGTAATTTCATTTTTAAAATTAAATAAATTAATTACACTTTATAGGAAATGTTATATTATGATAGGTGCAGATGTACAACACAGTGATTAGACATTTATATAACTTATGAAGTGACCACCCAGGAAAGACAAGGACCCATCTGACACCATACATAGTTACTGTAATACTTGAGGCCCATGCATGAAATTCGTGCTCTGGGGGGATGTGGGGAAGTTATCCTTCAACCCAGCCTGCACCCTCTCCAACTTGGGACCTCCAGACTGCTGGTTTAGTTGGGTATCCCTCTCACAAGCTGGAACTGCTGGCTCCTAACAACTTGCCTGCCAGCCTGATAGCCACCTATCTGCTCCCATGCTGGCCTGATTGATATCTAACTGCTCCCCAAACTGCTCTCCCTTGCCACCCAATTTGTGACAATGTGGGGGCAGCCATCTTGTGACAACATGGGGGCGAGCATCTTGTGACGACGTGAGAGTGCCATCTTGTGATGAAATGGTGGTGGCCATCTTGTGGCAGCCATATTCTGACAACATGGGGGCTGCAGTCTTGTGACACAAGTGCTTGAGGTCAATTTGCATATTATCTCTTTATTATACAGGATTATTGACATAATCCCTGTGTTGTACTTTATATTCTCTTGACTATTTTTATAAATGTCAATTTGTGCTTCTTAATCCCTTTACCTTTTCTAATCATTCCCTGCAACACCCTTTCCACCTGGTGAAGATAAATTTGTTCTATCTATGAGTTTGATTCTCATTGTGTTTTTGGTTTGCATTTATTAATGACCAATGATGTTGAAGAATTTTTTGTGTGATTATTGTCAATTCCAGGTATATTTTACCTGGAGAAATTTCTATTCAAGTCCTTCATCCACTTTTTCTTTGGGTTGTCTTTTCTATTGTTGAATCCTTACTATTTATTGTATAATCTGGATATTAATTCCATATAATACATATTATTTTCAAACATTCTCTCCCATTTCATGTGCTGTCTTTTTATTCTATTTTTATTTACTTATTTCAATAATGTAGTAAAATTCTCTATGTACAGGTTTTACATCTTTCAATGGATTCAGTTCTATTTTATATTTTTATGACATTAAACAGACTTTCTTTTTTCTATTTATCATTTATAAAAGAAATATAAGATATTTCTATTGGTTTAATATTGAGCAAACTTGACAATATATATTAATATATTATATATATACTAGTACATATATTCGCAGGAGTGAATAGATGTGGTAATACTGGGCATCCTTCAATTGATCTAAAAGGGAAACTGCACTATTAAGTCCAATATGTGTTGTAGGTGTTTGTTAAATGTCACTTATTATAATGAGCAATGTTCTTTCTATTTATATTTACAAAGGGTTTAACTTATACATTTTTATGATTAATGACTTAAATAGATACATGATTATTTAGATTATCTTATTCTTTCTCATCAGTTTTAAGTTATATTTTACTAGAAATGTATTTTGTTCAAAATTTTAGCTTTTAAAATCTAATTTTCAACATCCTCTTGATATCCTTTTACTATTTTCTAGATTTTTATAGATTTAATTTTTTATTTCTGGTATTATTATTGACAACTCTCTTTATTTTATTTGGTCAAGCACATCAATAGCTTCCTATTTGATTAGTTGCTCCAAGGAACTAATTTTGGCTTTCTTGATTCTCTTTATTGTATATTTGGTATAATATACAATATAATATTTTTTAGTGATTTCAGAGAGGAAGGCAGGGGAAGAGAGAAGGAGAGAGAGAGACAGACAGGGGGGGGGGGGGAAGACATCAATAATGAGAGAGAATCTTGATTGGCTGCCTCGTGCACTCCTCCTACTGGGGATTGAATCTACAAACAACCCAGGCATGTGCCTTTCACCGGAATCAAACACAGGACCCTTTAGTCTGCAGGCCAACGCTCCATTCACTGAGCCAAACCAGCTAGGGTATTTTTTTTTTTAAATTAAATGTGTTGTTTATACCAAGTTTCTTAGATGGATGCTAATAACTGAATATCTGCCTCATTCTTTTCCTATATGTATATTTACAATATACTTCACTCTAACATTGGCTTTAGTTTTGTTACAAAGTATTTTAGCTTTTATTCATTTCTAAATATATTTTAACTGAAGAAATATTCCAAAAATGTCAATTTTAATTTTCCTAATAGCTGTTCATTTTCTAGTCAAAATTAATTTGTGCACAAAGTACTCATCGCTCTACAATACATTGAAACTTGTTTTATGACTCAGCATCTGGTCAATTTTTCTAAATGTTTTATGTGAACTTGAAAATATACATATATTCTGCAATTATGTTCATTGCTTTATACAAATAAATTATACTGGATGTGTTAATCATGTGGTTGTTTTTTCCAGATATTGGAATATATGTGTTATAATCTTCCACTATGATTTTGAGTTTGTTGTTTGTTTTGTTTTTCTCTTTTAGCTCCATTTGTTCATATTGGGCTACATTAATAAATATATACTTATATAGACGTTTACATCTTTCTATTCAATAGAAACTATTATCTTAAGAAGTAGTTACATTTTATCTCTAACACTACTTTTGTTTCTAACTTGATTTTATTTGAAATGACTAGAAATGTACCAGCATTTACATCGACTTTTCTCAATACAAGAGCAAATAACATTAGTGATAGAAATGCATGTTTAAGTATATATACAGGATAGATATCTCACTATGGAAGTAGGAAGCTCTTCTAGGAGAAGACAAAGAAGACTTTAACTTGGGTGAATACATATTCCAAATAAGAAAAATGTCATATGCAACAACATGAATAGCAATACATTCTGTGTAGCTAGAGTTTGGAGTCTGTGGTAGAAAGTTATTACCAGTATTTGAAGACAATTTTAGAACAGTTTTAAAGTCTTTATCATGGCAAAACTTTGGTAATTTGTTAGCTATATGAAGACTAAGCAGATGTTATTATGGAGTACAGTGATGATGCCCTTAATTAAAATGAAAAAATCTAAGGAGGTGATAGACAAATATCAGCAGTAAAATTTTAAATGAATTGTGTTATAGAATCCCACATGTTTTCTAGTTGGATAGTTCTCCACCTAAAATTCAGGAGAACATTTTAAACTGAAGATGCAGATTTGAGATGTATCAGTGTTTTAGTGAATGTTGAAGTATGGAAGAAAAAGACACCAAAATGATGACCAATGATGAATACTTAGAGGAAAATCAACATTTATAGAATATGTCTCAAAAACATAAGAGGGAAAATTGGCAAAAAAAATTAAATAGGGAAGCTCGGTGAGATTTTACTCAGGCCAGGCCATGGCTCTGATCCCACCTGAACAGGGAATGGGTGTGGGGAAGGGGGGTGAGGAGTGGGCTGTGTGTGTGTGTGTGTGTGTGTGTGTGTGTGTGTGTGTAAGAGGTGCACATGGGGTGGGCCTGGAGCAGGAATAGGTTGAGGAGTGGTCAAAACCTAGGTGGGCCTGTCATGTTCGCACCCCAGGTCAAATCTGGCTGGGTGGACGTGGAGTGTGGGTGGCACCCTCTGCCGAGGTCTATCCTGAGCCCTGGAGATGAATCTCACTTCCCCTGGGTGGAGGTCTGTGTAGACACAGGGCTGGGTCTGATCTGGGAGCAGAAGGTCCAGGGGCAGAAGTAGCAATGACTAGGGCCAGGGCTTAGTTCTACTGACCAGCTGCTAGTCACTGTCATTGCAGAGCTCAACCCAGGTCAAGGAGAAGCAGCAGCTGGTGAAGGAAGACCCGAGCCCCATGTCCAGCAGTGAGGAGCCGGTGAGCCACATCACCAAGGACCAGAGCAGGCCTGAAGTGAGAGTGGCCACCTGGGGGTCTGGGGAACCGGGGCTGGTGAGTGTAACAAGACGGCCTCCAACCCCGAAGCAGGCCAGAGTAGACAGGCAGCTCAAAATTTTCAACTGCATAATTGAGCATGGTGCTTATATTAAACGTACTGGGCCTGCTGACCTGGAGCCCAAGGAGGCAGAGTCCAAAGGTTTGGAAGGTGGGGGAAGTAGGGGTGGAATGGGTGGGCAAGGTGCATATGAGTTTATGTGGAGCTATTGGTGCCAGACACACAGAGAGCATCCCCAGATGCTGGCCAAGAGCAAAGATCAACCTCAGACCACCCATGCCTGGACTGCCTGCCTGGGAAGGCAACCTGTGGAGGTTCCTGGGCTGTCTTTGGAGGGCAAGTAGAAATGCAGGCACTTGGGTGATCTTTTCTCCTTTCTCAACTCCTGTGCCAGCCCAGGAGGCAGAGGCAGCTCCTCTTGTCACACCTGACGTCCATCTAGAGGAGCAGAATGCAGAGCTGGAGGCATGTCCTCCTCCAGATCTTCTGCCACCTCCAGCAGCCTCTCCAGCTGTGGCTGTGGAGCCAGGGCCGGCCCCAGACAAAACTGAGGCCCCACCACTGCTGGATGAAGAACCAGGGGAGCAGGCCTAAGTTGCAGTTGGATATCCTTAGCGTGCTGCCATGGAGGTGGGAGATCCCATCACTACTGCTGCGCTTGCCAGTCATAAGCCTGGCTTGTGGCTGAGTGGCGCTCTCCCTCTGGGAGCACACTGACCACCAGGGAGCAGCTTCTGCATTGAGCATCTGCCCCCTGGTCATCAGTACCGGTTATAGTCCTTTGCATTTTGGTAAATTTGCATATTACCTTTATTATGCAGGATTACATTTAAGTAAACAGTAGAACTTATCCTTTGTGTTTTAAATGATGCCATTCCTGAGTATGAAGTAATCACGATGCTGTGCTAACATCACCACTGTCTAGTTGCAGAATTTCCAATCACCCCAAAATGAATCCTTCATCAAAAGTACTCTCTCCCTACTCCTCCTGCCCCTGGAAACTCCTAATCTGCTTTCTGTCTCTACTCCTTTATCTATTTTTGACATTCCCTATAAATGAAATCTTATCATAGTTGTCTTTTTGTGTCTGCTCAAGTATTTTTCTTGTTTTTATCTGACATAGCACTTTGCTATTTAAAAGGAAAATCCCAGGTGGTTTAGAGATCAGATGTAAGAAAAGAAGCCCTATTAGTAAGTGTGTGCATCATCTCGGGGTAGAGCCTCTGTGCTAAGTGTGACCTCAGGGCCAGAAGCTAGTCAGGCAACAGCTGGCTCTTACTGAGCCCCGCCACCCCAAAAAAGGAGAAAATTACAGAATCTGGAAAGACAAATCACAAGCTACAAAGCATTCTTCATAACCCAAGGTCAGAGAAATGTGTAACATCCCTGTGTGCAGAAAATTCTCCAAAGCTTCTATTGTCTACAAGAACAAAGGGAAAACACATGCACTTCCAAAATGAGAGGCATTGTAGAGTCCTCTACATGTCAGAGATCCCCCCTTCCCTGATGGGGAAATACGCACTGTCAATACTGAAGGGAGAACACTGTTACCAACAGATTGTCAGGCTTCTGGTCTGGTGGCAACCAGCCCTGGGGACAAAGTGAGGCAGCAGGTGCCCCAGGGGATCCCCTGGGGAGATGGGGAAAGGCCCCTCCTCTAGGAGAACAGTGTGCAGGCCCTGCCAAAGTCCCACAGGTGCACACAGGGTGCAGGGATCCCCACATGCCAACAGATAAAGGCCTCAGGTTTCTGTATGACACAATAGACCAGATAGATTCAATTAATATTTTCAGAGTATTTCACCCAAAGCAGCCAACTATACATTCTTTCCATTGCACATGGAACAATTTCTAGGCTAGGCCACATGTTAGGACACAAAGTAAGTCTCAATAATTTTAAGATGGAAATCCTGTCAAGTATCTCCTTTGACCACAGCAATATGAAACTAGAAGTTAGTAACAAGAAACAACTAGAGAGCACACAAACATATGGAGGCAAAGTAATATGTGACTAAACTATAAATGAGTTAACAATGAGATCAAGGAAGAAATCAAAAGATGCCTTGAGATAAATGAAAGCGAAAAGAAAACAACACAAAATCTGTGGGACTCAGAGAAAAGCAGTCCTAAGCGGAAGATCCATAGCAATATAGGTCTACCTCAAGAACCAAGAAAAAATTCAAATAAACAATCCAACTTTACACATAAAGGATCTAAGAAAAGAACAACAAATAAAGGCCAATATGAGTAGAAGGAAGAAAATGAAGATCAGAACAGAAATAAATAAAATAGAATTTAAAAAAAATTATAAAAATTCAATGAAACCAAGAACTGATTCATTGATAAAGTGGTTGAGCATAGAACTATGAACCAGAGGTCAAGGTTCAATTTCTGGTTAGGTCACATGCCAGGGATCCCTAGTATGTGTGTGTGTGTGTGTGTGTGTGTGTGTGTGTGTATAATTTGCATGCATTCTAATGTAGGCCTGGAACACTATCTAAATACTAGAGCCCCAATACACAAAATTCATGCCTGGGGGTGGGGGGGTTCCTCAGCCTAGCCTGCACCCTCACCAATATGGGACCCCTTAAGAGATGTCTGACATCCCTTTCAAAACCAGGATTGCTGGCTCCCATCCTATCTGCCTGCCTGATTGCCCCTAATCGCTTCTGCCTGCCTAACTGATCACCCCTTAATCATTCCTCTACCAGCCTGATTGATGCTTAACTCTTCCTCTGATGGCCTGATTGCCTCTAAAGTGACCTCCTCTGCCAGCCTGGCCGCCCCAACTGTCCTCCCCTGCAGGCCTAGTTGCCCTCAACTGCCCTCCCCTGCTGGCCTAGTCACTCCTAACTGCCCTCCCCTTCCAGCCTGATTGCCCTCTCCTGCTAGCCCCATTGCCCCTAACTGCTCTCCTCTACTGGCCCAAACACCTCCAACTGCCCTCCCCTGAAATTCTCCAAAGCTTCTATTGTCTACAGAAACAAAGGCTTGATCTTGTGTCCACATGGGATGGCCATCTTGTGTTTTGGTGTGATGGTCAATTTGCATATCACCTCTTGATTATATAGGATGATCAGAAATCAAGAAAAAGCATTTTTTAGAACTGATTTCCAAAATAATAAGCTATCCAAAAGTCATGTAAAATAGTTTCAATTAAAACATCTTTAATGTCCAATGAAAGTGAATTTGTAAAGTGCATTTAACATAGAAAATAATTCTTTAAAAATATACATTAGAATTAACCAAGATAGTCTCAAAATAAATTTTAGATATTTTAACTTGGGATGCATTGTAAAAATAAAACAAATTTTGCCAAGTGCTCTACTAATTATAAACTTATTTTTCATGATAAAGTCAGTAATTCTGTTTACATTTTTTAATATAAGTTGCTTCCTAGAACTAAAATGAAGACTTTAGAACCACCTAAAGTGATAAGTAGAGCAGGAAAAAAAATTCTTTCTCTTTCTTCCACTAAAATTATTCACCTAAGGAAATCAAAATTTGTAAAATATCACTCTATTCAATTTTTTTTAATATTTGATCACCATTACCATGCAAATTATGTTGGGTGGATCTAGCTCCTCTGACAATCTGAATAAAACTAATATACTGTCCTGGAGAATATGCACAGATGGCGAAATAAAGTAACATAGCCCAGTGAAAAAAGGGTATCCCTTAAACTATATTCCTCCTATTGCCCCACAAGGCCAGAAAAAATGAGTGATTCCTTGCCATAATTTTTACTTGTTTACGTAGCACAAATTCTCTAAGAAGATTGTAGCTCTTTCACCCTCCTGAACAATTCTAAACTTTTGAAAGTTTCTAAACTCAACAGCAGGTTGTCTGATATTGTTCATAATGCTAACCATCTACATATCTTTGTATATTTTGGCCCTTTGCCTATTTTTTTTTCTGGGCTAAATTTCTTCTTCAACTTTGTACTCTAGCCATATGGAACTTTTTCAATTCCTAATATTCACTCTGTTCTTGTCCCTTGCATGGGTGTGGTGAGGTAGCTAAATACTAGAACAGTTCTCTAGGTTTTGTTCTTCTGAACTGCATTCAGGGAAAGAAACTATAAACCAGAAAACTTATTTATTCATATGGATTATATGTAAGCTCAAACCATTCCCTGTCACTTAATCTTAGGCATAAAATAACTTTAAATTTGCTAACCAAAGGCAGAAAAAATTTCAATCACAATATAGTGGGCCTAAGTAAACACATGAAAAAGAAATGGAGACCCTTTAATATAAAGAATATATGCCATCATCTTTGGTTGAGATAAAAAGAAAACTAAGTAAACTTTGACAATTAAAAAAATATATATGTATTAATGCTATGTTTTAAGATACTAAGTTTGCTTAGGAAACCCAAGAAAAACTCCACAGTGCTTTTAAAAATGTACTTCAGTCTGACCATCACAATGAGACTAGAAAAGAAAAAAAAGGAAGACAGCCTGACCTAGATGGAGACAGAGATTATTCTTAAGAGATAGACTGAGGTCTTGAAAGGTAAGATAAATTACCTGAAATTAAAGAGAAAACATGCCCAAATCAAATATATCTTTGAAAGGGTTTTATGGGGGGGAAAAAGGTTTTAATTGTTATTAGATTAGAAGTTTACTTATATCCAAAGAAATCTAACAAAAGAAGGGAAGTGTGGTTGCAAAAAGAAATTGTGATCTATTGAGAGTAGATTTTTAGGTAGAAGCAATAATTAGCACTGTTGGGAAACTATCTTTTCAAGACTTTGATCATTAGACCACATTACATTTGAAAATCTGGACAGAATTGAGAAGAAAACACCAGCAAGATCAGTGTAGAATATTTATAATTTTATAACATGAAAGTTTCATGAATTGGGGTTCACTAAATTGGCATAAATTTATAATAAACTGAGGTATAAGTGTTGCTTAGCCATTGGGGATTCTGCGTAAGAAGTTGGTTGAAAGGTGGGATAAGAGAAGGCTCAGAAAAGATGTAACATAGTAAACAAGAACCCAGCAGGCAGTAATATTTTGTGTCTAGGTCTGAGTCATGTGCTTTAGGATGTGCCTCTTGGACAGGATTATTCAACTTCAGAAGATGAAGTTAAACAAGGTGTGTTTGCAAGTACTTCCTTTTGAGAGATACAGTTCTCATTTATTTTTTAAATGCCCAAAGGCAAAACCCAAGAAGTATACTCCCAAAACAAATGCCTGGACCACAAAGGAAAGTAGAAAAAAAAAGAGACTATTCTGCACCTGCAAACAGTACCAGCCCTGTATGTGTTAGAAAAAGTGGACAGGTTGAGCAGTTAAAAACTCAGCCGATCCTCCTAGGAACCTGTAACAGAACCACCAGCAAAATAAACAGTTGTGGCATCTGCATTGCTACAGAGAAAAATGTTAGAGTCATAACAGTTTCTGGTGTCTCTAAAGGATTAGACTTTTTTTTTTTTAAGGCCTAGGAAAGAAGAAGAGACACTCTGGAGAGTAGTTCCAGGCAGAAATATCAGGCTTCATCAGACCATTGGGGTCACATGCTTCAGGACTATCAACAGCTTCAGATCAAATAGATTTTTCAGATGAAACACATGAAAGATTGAAG